GGGGGGGGGGGGGGGGGGGGGGGGGGGGGGCTGTGAGGCTGAAAAACAAGTTATCAAAAGACATAGATTTTAGCTTACCTTTCAGAACACCTGTGTCAGAGCTGGCTCAACTCTCTGACAAACAAACGCAAGAGGGAATGTAACTGCAAGGGATATTTATTTAACAAACGTAGTCAACAGAAACTAAGGCTAACAAAATACAACAATCTGTATCTGTAATGTGGAATGTCAGCAGTGACTGCGGGTGCATGGCTGTGTGTGTGTGTTGGATGCAAGCTAAAATGAAAAGGGACAACAGGTGAGCTGCAGGGTCAAGCCGGGAATGGGAAGCCAAGAGAGAGACCGGGCGGATTCCACAGGTGTTCATAGCCGCAGCCCCGCCCACTAAGGCACACACCGGAGGCCCATGATCAATCATGCTCTGAAACAGAAAGGAGAGAGGGCGAGCAAGACACCACATATGCACACATACAGATCCAAACAACCCCACTCCACTTGGGGTTGTCACAACCTGTCAAAGACACAATCTGTGCTTGTTTTGTGATGAGAACTGGTGGGCCAAGAACTATGTTTCCTGGACATGAAGAGCACACAGTTTCTAGCGGAATAAGCTTTTGTGGACATTCTTCATTTTTGACGGATAGGACATTGTCAGGTAAAACAGGCGGGTATTTTTTCAAGGAGTGAATGTATGAGACCATCCTGTGTAGTTGTTTATCTTCAGGAGGATATGTTATGCCCACATTTTCAGGTAATGGTTCTGGCTCATTCTCTGATGTCATCTCTGTGCTCTGTACCTTCCTGAAGAGATGCCTTTGTGTCTCAAACAAATGCCATTTGGCCATGTATTTGTGAATGCATGACATTCTTGGCTTTGAATATGGACAGTGCCACGTATTCAGTCTTTTGTCTTAAGTGACCATGACTCGCCCAAGTCGGCTGTAATAGCTTACAGTTGGTTGATAGACTGATATGTAGCATTTGTGTTCTGAGTTCATGGTGACATCAACAGTGACTGGTACACTGGCAGCAGCTGCCTGTGACTGCAGCTGGAGACACTCCTGTTTCTTGTTATCTCCAAACCACTTGTTTTTAACCATATCACTTAATGTGTCTTCATGGAGTGCAGTCTGGATGGCATTTGCTGAGCAGTAGTCCAAAGAGCGGACATGTTGGCACTGAAATGTCAATAAATACTCCTCACAGCAATGTCACAGTCCTTTTGACATTCATTTGACTTACACTTGACCTGATGCACTTTCCCCCAGGTTTTCTTCTGTACATGTAGAGGCACAAGTGGTCCAAGAAACGATTTCTTGACAGCATATATGCCATTCCTATCATCTACACATACGGCATCCAGATGCAAATTAGCATTTATGTCTCTGGAAGCAATGTCCGTACGTTTTCTGTAGATGTGTTTCTTCATTTGTTTTTAAGAAACTGCACATTGCAGTGGTGACAAACAATACTTGTCAATTTTGCTAGCAGCACTCTGCGGGGAGGGTTGTCCAGGCTAGGGCTGCATGGCAAGGACAATTCAGACTGTTTACTGCAGTTGTCAGTCGCTGTGTCCTCCTGTCCGTCAGGGATGGGATCACTCTGTTTTGTCGTGTCCTGAGGTCTCTCCTCTACCTGAGACAGAGAAACGGTCACAGGTTTAACCCTCTGACAGGGTTTTAATTCAATGCACACCTAAACAGGTAAGGCCAAAAATGAACTTTTCAAAATTAAAGCAGCTGTGCGGAACTTTTCGTTTCCGTTGATTATAGCGCCCCTTTGGTCGAAGAAGTATGACACCCACAGCCTGGTGCTGTAAAATTCTGACTGCAGCTGGCAATTACCGCATGCATTTGTTTTGGAGAGCGAGAGGATTAACTAACATCAGGTCAGTCCAAGTAATTAGTGGAAACAGCAAAATTACTCAGTAAATTCTCCTGTCGTGTTTCTGTTCTGATCTAATCTAATCTGTTGTGTATTTTGAGCTACTAAGGCTACCGTAGTAATGTGAGCCTCAAGTTATTCTGGGTAATGTAGTAACTGTTGTTGTGCTACTGGAAACAGTGAGAAGCAGCCGTGTACGTTCGGTGTAAGGAGGAATAAACAGTTAACAAGTCATCTGCTGAGTCCGCATTATTATGTGAAAAGAATACTC